CCTCCCTATACATCTCACCATCATCCCAGTAATAAGCACAGTGGTTCTTGCCTTTGTCTTTGTAGTAGCCCTCAGGGTATCCAGATCATAGACCTGAATTCTCTCCGGTTGTGACTGCACACTGATACATTGCCATAGCTGTAATTATTTGAGATATTTCTACTCTAATATCTTGTGATTTTAGAGGCAGTTTTATTTCTGCCTCTACAGTTGTCACCTTTTCCTTTTGGGTACATCTCATGATGTGTGTGCCATTAATTCACTCCAGTCTACTTTGATACCTCCCTCCTCCCACCCACAGTTTTAAAATAGTTTGTATTATAGTTGCCAGTGTGCTCTGTGCTCCACACAGTGATTACTTGGGGTGGGGAAATACTAGGACTTGAGAAGATTTGAGGATTAATTAACTTCTGACAGTCTTGCTTTTCACTGGCTCTTAGACAGCTGCCTTGGGACTTGATCTACAATGGAACAGGATGGAGCTAGAGGTGCTGTCTCAGGCATCTTCACCCCCAAAGTACAAGGTTTTGTGAACACTCTGACATCCCTCCATTGTGTTGTCTGGTACATACTGACTGACCTCAGCAGCTGTTTGCTCAGTAAGTGGCCACGAAGCTTAGGCCTCTGAAATGAAGGGGTGCCAGGCTGAGGCCTCAGGTGGAGCCAGGTCTTGTACCTGCTGGACTTTCCCTTCTTGGTGTCTCCTTGTTCAAGGTCAGAAACTTCTGATCCCAAAGGATGCTTACTTTAGCTCAGTTTATCTTTTTTCATGCCACTTTGGTGCCATATGCTGGCATCATGTTACCTCATAGCAGAGATTCTTTTAAAACACTGTTGTGTCTCCAAGAATATTCTGCTCTCTGTGGAGCTCAGAGTAGCCATCAGCTCAATTATTTGAATTTAAATACTGAGTATTGGTCTTTAAAACTTGAAATATTTAGTGTTCATGTATATAAAGTACTGATTGAGGTATTTTTAAGGACATTTTCCAAAAGTTATATAGTTTTGTTTGTGGGGTCTGTTATTTTCCTTCCATCTTTACATGGTTTGGAAATTGAATTTAGGTTGACAGACACAGCAGCCTACCTTTTATTTTTATATAGCTAGCTATTGCTTAGCCACCTCACTTGGATACAAAAGTTAATGTGCCCCAGGCTGGCCTGAGACACATTGTATTGTGGATGATAACCTTGAACTTCTGATGCTGTTGCCTTTACTTCCCAAGTGCTGATATTACAGATATGGGCCTTTCTGTGCAGTTTAGATGGACTGGATAAGGATTGTACCCAGGGCTTTGAGCACTAGGCAAGCACCCTGCCAGCTGAGCCATATCCCAGCCTATATTCTGGTTGTTTTGTTTTTTGATGAGTCTTCTTTAGGTGGTTTGTTGTTGTCTATTTGTTTTGAGACAGGTTCTCATGTAGCACAGACTGGCCTCAAACTCACTGAGGATGACCTTAAATTTCTGATCATCATGCCACTACCTTCTAAGTTTGGGAGCTTCAGGTACATCCTTGACTTTCTTCATTTTTTTTTTTAAGATTGATTTTTGTGTGTCTGTATGAGTACTGTGCATATGAGTGCAGATACGTTTTGAGGTCAGAGACCGTGGCATCTGTATCTAGAGTTACAAACTGTTGTGAGCCATGCAGTGTGGGTACTTGGAACCAAACTCAGGTCCTCTGCAAAAGAGGTGTGTGTTCTTAACCACTAAGCCATCCTCTCTAGTATTGAGAATATGCGTGGTAATTCTGGTCAGAACTGTGTCTCTTGATCTAATCCAGCTAGCTCATTCAGCCTTCTCACAAAGATCTCGAGATTTGAAGTCAGGAGTCAGCTACACCACTGTACTGAGTGACCATGGCAAGCTGCTGATCTTTAGATGACAGTCTGTCTTCTGTGAAATGAAGGAAGTATTCTCTCTGGTTATTATAATAATTTAAAAAATGACCTGATGTGGCAATATCTGGATGTGAGCTTAGCACAGCACACAAGTTCTGTTGTTTGCATCTTGAAAGTAGAATAAGGTACATTTTAATTAAGCTAGTTTTATTTAGAAACTTAATAAGAATGACTGCACTGCACTGTAATTACAATTCAAGATTCCGGGTACTTGACAGAAAAACAAGACACAGGGAAGGCCGGCTCATGTTAACTGTGACTAAAAGTGAGAAACTGCTCGTGTGAGGAATTTACCACTAGGGAAGCCTATTAGTTCATTGCTTTTTAGAAAAAAATAAGAAAGAAGAAAGAAATGTAGATGGATTGGAGAGTTGGCTGACAGGTTAGGAGTACTAGCTCTTCTTCCAGAGGATCTGGGTTCAGTTCTCCGAACCTACATGGCAGTTCACAACCATCTGTAATTCCAGATTCAGGGAATCTGACACCCTCTTCTAGCTTCTGCAGTAGACACTCACATACGTAAAGGAAGCAAGTCTTTAAAAGAACTTTAACGTAGATTTGAAATAGAGAAAGGGGACCTGAAGGCTGAGGTTGAAAGCTTTCCTTTCCTTTTTGGAACAGCTTGATGACATCCTGTCATTTCTGTGTGACATGACCCCAGGCCATTTTATTTGGCAGCCAGGAGTAGCAGTGTTATTGAGATATTATTCACCTAGCAAATACTTTACCTGTCTAAAGTGCTCACATTTGCATGATCAAACGTTTGCATATTAGAGCGGCGCAACCATGAAAAACACCAACCCCAAATGAAACCATGCACCCTTTGCTTGTGGCACTCCTTCCTGCCTTTCCCCAGAGCTCTCAGCTCTAGATGTCTTAAGTCTGGTTTGTGACTTCACAACAGAATGCCTGAGACTGAGTAGTTTAAAGGGTTGGATTTCTGAATTCTGGAGACTAGAACTTACAAAGTCAAGGTACTGACACCCCCTATGAGCCTTTACTGTCCTCACATGGTGGAAGTCTGCAGGGAGGGGACAAATGTTGTGCACTTGTTTGGCAGAGGAGCAAAGGAGAGAGATCCTACACAACCAGCCCTTGCTTTAGCTTTCTTAGTTCACTGACTGTGACCTACGCAAGCTCACTGGCCATGTCCTGGTTCACTCCCTGTCAAGTCTGTGTTTGCACTTTGAGGTCCTCATTGTATGTGCTGTAGTCAGTCTCTTGGGCCTTGGTTTTCCTATGTGAGTTTATATTTTCAGTGTAGACAGACAAGATAGATGTCTTGTGTGGAAGGGCCTGAGCTAATTAGAAGCAGAGTTGAATTTAGAAACTCTAAAAGGTAAACACCAAGTTAATTTGGCTTTATGTCTAAAGAAATTGCTGACTGTATAAAGCTGTCACTTAGAGGCCGAAGAGATAGTTCAGAGGTTAAGAGCACTGACTGCGCTTTCAAAGGTCCTGGTTCAAGTCTTGCTTCCACATTGTGGCTCAGAACCAACTATACCCTAGTTCAAGGAGCTCTGATGCCCCTTCTTTGCTCTGTAGGCACTTGCACATACATGATACACAAACATACATGCAAAGAAAACACTTAGATACATACAGTAATTTTTATAATTAAAAATAAATAAAAATTAGCTTATCAGTGGAATTAGCTACTCAGTGAAGAACTTTCTAGAACTACATGTACTCTAGCTGCTGTGGAGTGCCCTCTTCTCAAGATGTTACACAGTGATTTTCTGTACCTGGTGAGGCTGTGACTCTAAGGTCTTACCATATTGGAGACAGGCTGAACCGTGCCAGAGCTGACATGCCACACAGTGACAGAGCAACAAAATAATGTGGTAATTCCTCACTGCTGTTTCTGGTGTTTGTGGCTTTTGATGCAATTGGGGCATTGCTTTTGAGATAGTCTCACCGTTGAGCTCAGGCTGGCCTGGAACTCATCCTCCTCTTGCCTTTGTCACTCCAGTATGGGTGTTAACAGGCCTGGGCCGCCACATCTGGCACTAGGTGTTGTGCTAAACAGTTAAGGAATCCCAAGATAAAGTATCTATACCCTTCAAAATGTAATCTTCTTTAAGAAGTACACTTCTGATATAAAGAAATCTGTTTACCCTTCCTGATAGAAAACTTGCGTTAAAAAACTTTCAGATATATTTATTGTTTTGTGTATGAGTATTTTGTCTTACATGTATGTTTTCATACCATGTACATGCCTGCTGCCCATTGAGGTCAGGAGAGGGTATCAGATTCTCCTGGAACTAGAGTTACAGGTATGAGCCTTCATATAAGAGATAGGAACTGAACCCAGGTCTTCTACAAGAATAAGTGTCCTTAACCACTGAACCCTAAAACCTTCATTTGTTATACTCTCCAGTTACATTTGTAGACCTTGTATTTACCAAATCTTTGTCTGGGTGTTATTTTTATGGTATCTGCTGTGTGGTCCAGTGCAGTAACTTTAGCACTGCATTCCTCAGTCTCTTCATCTGGAATTTGGGATCAAAAAGAGTCTTTTAGTTTGTGTTTCCATTGTTGTGAAGAAATACCATAACTAGAGCAACACTTACAAAAGAAAACATTTCACTGGGGCTGGCTTACAGTGTCAGAGGTTTATTAGTTCACTGTCATCATGGTGGGAAACATGGCAGCATCTAGGCAGACATGGTACCGGAGGAGCTGAGAGTTCTATATCTTGCTCTGAAGGCAACAAGAGACTATATTCCACACTGGGTGGAGCTTGAGCTTAGAAGACCTCAAAGCCTGCCCCCAACAGTGACATATAAACTTCCTCCAGCAAGGCCACACCCATTCCTACAAGGCCTCGTCTAATAGTGCCACTCCCCAGGGGCCAAGCATTAACATGTAAGTCTATGGAAGTTATACCTATTCAAACTACTACAAAGAATAGCTGTTGTTTTGAACGGCTGTTAAGATGCTGTAGTCTGTCTTGTGCACAGAAAAGAGTTTCAGAGTTATATAATAATAATTATATAATAAAATAATAATCTCAATATTGCTTCAGTAAGAGAGGAGAAGCATGGATGGTTATTAACAAAAACAGAAATGTAACCTTGCATTTAAATTTCTCTTAGAGGAAACACAAGAATAGAAGAGGCATGTGAAATGTATACCAGAGCTGCAAATATGTTCAAGATGGCCAAGAATTGGAGTGGTATGTACAACATTTTGTTTGTTTACCAGGCAAATACTTTAAAAACAATTTGGTAGAAAGATAGGACTGTGTGTTCCCTTTAAAGAGTGAGACAAGCATTGGTGCTGAGAGGATTGTCATCTTGGGTAACTAACCTGGTTTCCAGGTTGAGCACTGGGACATTGTCTGTCTCAGCTTCTGTCAGTGCAGTAGGCTTCTCGTGTCTGAAAGCAAGAATTTTACGGACAGGGGAGGATAGATAGTAATCTTTTGTTTCTTAGAATTTTATTCCAGGGCCTTAATTATAGGAAAAGTCATTGAGAACTAACAAGATAGATGGAAAGCATTCTCTACCCTGAATCCACCAAGAACTGAGTGACAGTGGGAAACCTTTGCCTAGCACATTCCTTAAGGTAAGGCCTCAGAGGGAACAGGTTGGTAGGATGCTTCTCTCCATTCAAGGGTATTGCCCTTTCTAACACTAATTAGAGAGAATATGCATCTTCTTCCCTTGAAGAAAGAGACTTCTGTAGCTCAGATGGTGATGGGGTCGTTATGCAAGTGAACATAGAGGCAGCCTTGGGCCAGAGAGAACATAGGTCTCACCTTGGCAGACAGCTGTTGCAGGGCTAAAGTGGCTCCTGCCTTTTACTAGCTGCTGTTTCCTGTTGCCTTTAAGGAGATTCAAAGGAGAGGAAGATGCTTTCAAGCTAGGTGGATCTGAAAGGCTGCCTCTGACTCTGAAGTTTCTTTGTCAGCTTAGTTTGCAATAGAGCTTTAGTTAAAAGGGAAATGGAAGGATTTCAAAAGCACTTATGGCCACATTGTATTTTACTGAAGTACAAATGGAAGATAAACAGAATCATCCCAGCAGCCCATCTTTTCTGTTCAAGTCCTGTAATCACAAGTGAAAAGTGATCTTACCCAAGAGTGCTTACACATCTTTTCTAAAGGTCAGATTCTGGGAGATTCAGTGGGAAGGCCCTTATCCTTTATGTACCTGTGGAGGCCTTCCATGTACCCTCTGTCTGTTTCCAGGGTGGCATTCTCCAGCTAGTACCCAGTGTCCGCAGTGTCTCGGTTCTGTTTTGAGACAGTGCCTGACTGACTTTGTTGCCCAGGCTGTTCTGGAACTCATTATAAGCCCACATAGAACTTGTACTTGGAGCCATGGTCCTGCCTCAGTCTCCCAGGTGCAGGATAGTGGGCATGTGTCACTATGTTTAACTCCCAGTCTTACTGAGGCTGAGTAAGTCAGGTTATATACTGGGTTAGACCTTCCAGGACTGTCTTCTTTTCTCTCACCTCATCTGTTTGTGCTCCTGGCTGCCACCACAGAGCCTTGGCACGTGGCGTTACCTGTCTGCATACTTTCCCCTTGTTTGTGGCTTTCTTCTGGTCCATCTCCAGTTGTTATCTTCTCAGCTAGTTCTCTTTTGAGTACCTCTTATAAACAATGGTCTCTCCCTGGAAGCTCTCTTCTCTTCCCCGTGGCCCACAGTACCACGTAGGTGTCTTAGTTATTTATACTTACATGAATCATCACATAGTGACCCTCACTAGCATGCACCTTGGAAGGTCAGAGTGTTTATGTGTTTGCAATCTGACTCCATCTCCAGGGACCACACTGTGTCTCTGACACAGTGGTGGATAATCAGTATAGTATTTGTTATGTTAATTGATAAACAAGGCCCTGAAGTTAAAGCAGTGGTGCACTGATGGCGATCCTGACACTATTTTGTCTCTTTATAATTTTAAAGGTTGTTTTATAATGATTAAGCTAATACTTTTCAGCCACTGTTGAGACTAACAAGTTGGGTAGCTTCCCTGAGACTATTCTCCTTTAAAGATACTTCCAGGTCAAGAGAGACCAAGCTGTTCTTGTTAGCAGTGATTGGAAATTGTGTTCCAAACAATAAAGTGGCATCATGGAATTGTATAACAAACACCAACTGTTACCTGGGAGGTAAAAATAGCCAAAAGGAGAAATGAGAACATGCTGGAGTGTGCTGTGCAAAGGTTTGTCTGCAGTGATGAACATGGCCGGCACCAGTGCTTCCAGAGCCAGGCCCTCCCAAGCACTTCACGACAGGTCCAGGTCACTCGTTCTTCCAAGGAAGAGCCAGGCAAAGCTTCTGATCAGTTGGCTTTTCCTGCAACTAGCTTGTCCTTGTTGCTTCTCCAAGTCTTAATGTGGCTTTCTAGCTGCTAGCAGGGATTATTCTGATCCAATTCTAGCCCTAAGGCTAGTTCTCACTGGTTGGTGTTTCTATTAATCCTTTTATGCTGCTAGACAAAATACCTTTATCTGAAGAATTTATAAAATACAGAGGAATTGTTCATAACAGAAAAGTCCAAGGTTGAAGTGCCAGCAGACTTTGCATCTGGTGAGGACTCCTCTCCACTTCCAAGATGCCATCTTGTTGCTTCATCCCACATGGCAGAGGAAGCAAAGCAGCTTTCTCCTTTCAGTATCTTCTATAAGGGTACTATTTCCACTTATAAGTGTGTGGATTAACTACTTCTTTAAAGGGCCTTGTGGGTAATACCATTGGGTATTAGATGCTCAAATACGAAGGGTGGGGGATACCAACATTCAGACCACAGGAGCACCCATGCCGAGCTAGGTAATCAGTGCTTTCCAAATTTCACATGTACTCTTTTGTCAGAAACAGAAGGACAGACCAAAAATTGAACTGGAGCAGGCTACAGGGTTTGTGTGGCTTCCTTTCCTTGGTGGTAATCAGAAATACATGTGGGAATTAGGTTAATTCCTGTGGAGAGGGTGGTTAGGATAAGGGAGACAACTAAAGCTTTCACGGAGTTGGAAATTTTATTTCTTATGAGTAAATTTAAAGCAAGTGGTTACTTAGCAGAGTGCACTGCTTTGTGACTGTTACTAGTGCTGCTCCTAGCTCCCAGAACAGTCTGAAGGAGGAGAGTCTCACTTAGCTCGTGGTTTCAGAGGCTCACTCGGCTTATTTAACCCAACGTGTGGGGAGAATGTCATGCCAGGAGGAGTGGTGGAAGAGGTGCTTCTTCACCTTATTGTGGACAGGAGGTAAGAGCAAGGAAAGGAAGGTGGGCCTGACGAGCCTTAGTTCTCAGACCTCACCTAGGCACACCTCTTCAAGCTTGTAGAACTGACCAGATAGCACCACCAGCTGGAGACCAAGCATTCCGAACAGGAGCCTGGACATAGTGGCACATAGTCCTGACACACGGAAGGCTGGGGTAGAATTAGATTGTAAATTCAGCAAGTTCCTACCTTAGCAAATCACATCTTTCCCTCAAAGCCCTAAAGTTTTATACCATTCTTGGTCATGTTTTTCCTAGTGCAGCAGATTCAGTAATGACACCTGAGAGCCACAGACCCTCAATTGAGAGATGAGACAAACACCCTTGGCTTCAGTGCTTTGTTCTTTAACTGTGTGAGCTGGGTGCTCCTTGTTGGGCTGATCTCATGGTGTGGACTAGAGTTCAAGAGCATAAATTTTGGCTAACAGTCATTGAGAAAGAAGGCTCTGTGTTCAGGATGCTTGGCAGGTTCTCTGGAACTGTCAGAGAAAGTGACCACCACCCAGGTGCACTTGTCTCAATGTGATGCCTGTGGTCTCTGCCTGCAAGGCCTCCTTTTAGAGACTTGGACTCTTGTTTGGAAAGGCCATGCCTCATGATTTAACTGTGGCATCTTCTTCAGCTGCAGGAAATGCATTTTGTCAAGCCGCCAAGCTCCACATGCAGCTTCAGAGCAAGCATGACTCTGCCACCAGCTTTGTGGATGCTGGTAATGCTTACAAGAAAGCAGACCCTCAAGGTAAGGCCGCTCAGTCGCTCTGTGTGTCTGACTTAGCAGCATTTCTTGTGGCATTGAGGCTGGTACGCCACACCAAGTTCTGGTAATAAGAATTCTTGCATTATGGGATAAAAAGGAAATTTTGATAAATATAATAATGTCTACTCTTTATCATAAAGACATTAATTTGGTAGGGATAAGGGACACTTGAGGCAGTTTTTCATCATGTAGCTAAAGGTGGCCCCAAACTCACAGCTCTGCACCCTCTGCCTCTGGTTCCAAAGTTCTGGGATTACAAGCACCTTATCTCAGCTTCATGAAACATGTTCTTGAAATAAGAAGGAAATTCCAACTTACTGTACTCCTCAATGTGTTTTCCAAAGTGAGGGAGTGGTTAAAAAGGTGTCGGAGTTGTCGAACCACACAGCACTCCTTATTGTTTTCCTAAGTACTCTTCCAAACCTTTTTTTTTAAATATTGGATTTTAAAAGTAGTAAAGTTTTGCAAATATTGTTTCCTTTTTGGAGAAATAGTAAACTAAAGTATTAAAATCCTGTACATGTATATGGCTATCTGTAGTCTTTTTTGGTTGGTTGGTTGGTTTTGAGACAGAGTTTCTCAGGTGTAGCCCTGGCTGTCCTGTAACTCCCTTTGTAGGCCTGGCTAGCTTCACTCAAACTCACAGCAATCCACTTGCTTCTGCCTCCCAAGTGCTGGGACTAAAGATGTACACTGTTACCACCACCACCTCCCCACTGAGCCTTTTTTCTTTTGTAGTCTATTTTGTTTAACCTACAAATCTAAACTTCTAGGAATGTATCCCAAAGAAAAATGTTGTCCAGCTTTTTTTTTTTTTTTTTTTTTTTTGTAGAAGGGTTTCCTGTATTTTTATTTCCTAAGTGAGAAACTGAACACCGAGTATAAACAGAATGGGGGGTGAGGGCACAGCAGATTTACAATGCCTTCATATTGTAGAATATCACACAAGCATCCAAGTCCCTGGTTTGGGGCTAGTTGTGGTGACATGCACCTATGATTCCAGCACTTGAGAGACTGAGGCTGGAGGCTTGGGAGTTGCACACTAGCCTGAGGTAGGGTCTTATATATAAGACCCTACCTCAAAGAAAGTAAAATTCTGGATTTCATAGAATATACTTTGTACTTTGACCTGGTACATCCTCACGTGCTAATTTAAATTAAGGATCTAAGTGCTGGGTGGCTACAGTTTCTAAAAAAAAAAAAAAAAAAAAAAAAAAAAAAAAAAAAAAAAAAGCACTGGCAAGGAACTTGCTGATGTGGGAATACCGGGCCTGAGTGGTGTAATTGATAAGCTCTGTCTGTTTTCCTGTAGACCATAAGGTGTAGCAGTGAATAGACATTCTAAAATATACTTTAGGGAGCAGTTGCTTCTTGTTTTTGTCCTTCTAATCACCTTTCTGTTTCTCCTGTTAAGCTTTGCCTCCTTGCTGCCTCTTTCAGCCACACTTTTCTGTGACAGGAAATTTTCTGGCTGTTATAGGAAAAGATATAATTTATTAGCATTGTCATCATGAAGTTTTCCTTTTGGAATCCTGAGACAATTTTGTTAAGTTAGCATACTGAAAGTTAGTGTCTTTGAACAGTATGCACATTTACATATGACTTAAGAGAAGAACAGGTATTTCAGAGTGCTGTAGATGTTGGCTGCCTGAAGAGTGGAGACCACTGAAATGGTCTTTTTCTTGTAAGGAAGTGATCGTTTCCAAAATTAGTATAGACACACATGATATTAATGAAGACTACATTTACCTTGTATAGTAGCAGGTGTGATTTATCAATGTTGGTGGCAATCCCTGTGGTCTTGTTTCATTTGTATTACAGTCTGCCACCTGGATGGACCTCCCCCCGCCAAGAGTTTCTAAGCCAGGATTATTGCAGCCACACTGCTTTTAAATACCAGTGCAGCTGCTAGAAACACAGCTACACTAATGAATCTGTATTGTGCATGATTGTGTCTGCTCCTACTAACCAACCTGCCACCCTCCGCTCCAAATTGTACCTCTTACCATCAGTAGCAGCCAGGAGTCAGGCTCAGATGAACCCTCTTTCACTGAATGAATTTTTCATTGTTTTTCTTAAATGCCAACGCTTCAGAGGCTATCAACTGCTTAAATGCAGCCATCGACATTTACACTGACATGGTAAGACATTGCATTGCTTGAATGGCTGTGGGGTGGAGTCCTTAAGCTGCTTTAGAGTTGTACTTTTTCTTGTTCCCAAACTGGTTGGTGTTTGTGAAGATAAAGCAGGTGTGTAACTCTGTTTTCTCCCCTAGGGAAGGTTCACAATCGCAGCCAAGCACCATATCACCATTGCTGAGATCTACGAGACTGAGCTTGTGGACATTGAGAAGGTGAGCACTGACCACACACTCACATAAGCTTGGTGCAGACTGTAGGTGCTTGGCCTCTTAGCAGACCCCTCCTTCCCTTTCCCAGATGACTTGGGTGCTTCAGAATTTTTACAGGTGTCCTGGCAGAGACTGCCTAGGCCTGACTAGTTGAGTAAAGGGGCTGCTTACCTGAATTGCCTGAGATTTACCTAGCTCACCTGTTGTTTCTGTTCTGGTTCCTGTCAGAATGGTCAAAAGACTTTGCACTGGCCGGGCAGTGGTGGCGCACACCTTTAATCCTAGCACTTGGGAGGCAGAGACAGGAGGATTTCTGAGTTCGAGGCCAGCCTGGTCTACAGAGTGAGTTCCAGAACAGCCAGAACTACACAGAGAAACCCTGTCTTGAAAAACCAAAAAAAAAAAAAAAAAAAAAAGACTTTGCACCTGTCTAGTGAAGCATTCTGAGGCCCTGGAGAAGCTGAAGGCAAACTCTGCAGTCTCGGTCAGCAGTACTCCCTCAGCATTGCTGCTCTCACTGTCCTGCTTGCCAGCTTTTCTTCTTGGTTACCAGTTATCTCTGAGCCAGCGGGTCTTAGACTGCATTCTCTTCTCAAGTGCCACCCCTACAATAGTCTCTGGTCAGCAGACTTGCTTGCCCTTTCTCTAGTTCCATCTAGCTTGTGAAGAGTTTCTGTGGGCACTTTTCTCAATACTCCAATGTCTCAGCCCTTCTTGGTACCTTGTCCCCATTTTGATGTGATCAGTAACAGAACTCCGCAGCTGGTCTCCCATATCTGTTTCCTCATTCCCTCATCTCAGACTCTCATGAAGCAGAGCAGCCGCAGTGAACCTTGATACTTGTGTGTCAGCTTGCCTCCTCTTCTTATAGTCTTTTTTAAATATTCATTTTTTATGTATGGGTGTTTTGTCTGCATACATGTGTGCTTGGAGGCCAGAGGAGGATATCAGATCTCCTGGAATTGTAGTTACATGTTTGAGACTCCCCATGAGTGCTGAGAAACAGACCTGGGTCCTTGGGAGAACAGTCAGTGCTCTTGACCAGAGTCATCTCTCCGCCACTGTGTACAGCCTTTTGTTGGCATATCCTTCAGGAGCTGGAGACCTGCACTAGGTTTTCATGACCAAGTTGCTCCTCTCTCCCCACTCGTGTACCCCTAAGACCTCAAGTTTCTCCTGTTCTTCTGCTCTGTCCCCCTTACTCTAGCCCCTGCAGCTTCCATGCTGTGCTGTTCCTTCCCTGTACCAAATGAGCCCCTGCCCTTGGACCTGGGTACCAGCCATTCCCTCTGCCTGCCTGCCTCTTCCTCACACATCCACAAGCTGACTCCTGGTGTCCTTTATCACCCTTTCTAGTTCATGATCCTCTAGTTAAGATTATAGACTCAGGAATACTTACTAGATGACACCTCTGCAAATACACACTCTTACTCATTTTTTCACCTTATTTTACAGCCACATACCACCTCTCATTCTGTGGCATATGCTTGCTCATGATTCTGGTGTTTCTGTCTCCCTCTCACCTCTGGTCTTGGTGTCATGTCAGCTGACCAAAACAGCTCAGTCAGTCAACAGGTTCTCCAGCACAGGAGTGAGGATTAAAAAGAAAAGAGACGATTAGAAAACATTATAGTATGACCCCAGCCAGTCTGAGGCTGAAGGCTGAGGCAGGTTTATTTTTTCCCCCGATTTTCTTTTAAACCATTTTAATTACATGCAAGTATTTAGGTCAGTTCTAGGTTGAAGGAACCAGCAATACAATAGATGCAAATAGTCAAGGAACAAACAAGGCAATAAACAAAATCCTCTGCAACAATCTCCACCTGCCTGATTTTTTCTTAATTACAAATATGTGTGAGTTAGAATCCTGAACCTGTGATCTAACTGCAAATTGCAGCCAATGGAACACTGGTAATTCAACCACAATCTTCGAGTTTCCCTTATAACACCAGTGCACAACCGTAACTTTGGAAAGTAAAGCAACCTCCAACAATCAATCCAGTTTCTCCAAAATCAACACCAAGTGCATCACCCCCCATGCTGCAAAGTTTGGCTGCCAATTCCTGCACACGAATGCAAGACAGTACAGCCTCCAATACCTCAAAGAGACACTACCCTAAATCTTTTATAAGTCTTTGTAATACGTAAAATATTACCTAGTTTAGACGTGTCTTTAGAGGCCTGTTTCTCTGGGTTGGCTCATGCCACATGTTGCTGTTTAGAGTAACTCCAACCCTGAGTTACCAGTTTTAAACCAACTTTCTGTTACCAATGTTACAAAATTTTAATCATACCCAATAAACTTATAGGCCAAAAATCTATAGCCAAGACATGCAGAACATATTTATACTTTTCAAACCAGTCAGAAACAAAAATGAAGTGGTTACACACATTTACTTATTTAAACCGGACAAAATTCGTGCGTTTTCTAGCTGTAATTTCAAGAGAAGCACCTTGTCACCTGCCGAACCTAATAATCATAGTCACAAATTTTTTTTAGGAGAAACAACCGTCAGCTCCTTACCATAGAAGCCAAAAAAAATGTTGGCCCCTTTAAGAGCAGCTTTTACAGACAGTGAGCCCCTGGCAGGGCTTTTCCAGCTGTGCTAGACTCCTAACTACAAGTGTAGGGCTCCAAAGGCCAATTGAAACTGCTTTTTATTTTTACCTTTTTTTTTTTTGAAACTAGTTAAAAGCCGAATCAAAGGCTGAACAACCAGCAGATAAAGTTTTAACTGTTTTTTTTTTCTTTTGAACATGAAACATGGAACATTCAAGCAGCAAAACAAAGACATAATACAGACATGGACAGAGTGGTGCACCAAGGACAGACAATAGACAGAGAGGGAAGAGGACTAGATATCCCATGAAAGGGACCCAGATACCCTACCTAACGGATCCTGAACTAAGCATTTCTCCAGTAGGAGCCAGAGAGGGAGGAGGCAGGACATCTCTTGACCTCCGCCTGTTCCTAGGAGAGCTCTGAGACAGCTTACGTTCATTTCCTTCTCTTTCTCCAAAGCATCCCCAGATTGTCAGGGAGGACTGCTTTTCTGAAACCCATGTCTAGGGTGTAAACTATCTTTAGTTAGGGTCCAAAGACTAAAAGCATCTATGAGAATTACCTTCGCTTTTCTAGATTTTAGCATAACTCTAAACACATACACAAAACACATTTTACCATTACCTTGTCCTTCTACAAGGTTTACTTACAGCTGGCCCAAATCTTCTTTACTGTCCTTTGCATGCGCTTCCAATTCCCACAGTGTCCTTCACTGTATCCGGCTTACTGGAGCTCCAACATTGAGGCTCCATCTGACCAAGCCAACTCACCCAGTCAACAGGTTCTCCAGCGCAAGAGTGAGATTAAAAAGAAAAAAGACAATTAGACGACATTATAGTATGACCCCAGTTCTGAGGCTGAAGGCTGAGGTGGGTTTATTCCACCACCACCACCCCCTTTTCTTTTAAACCATTTTAATTACATGCAAGTATTTAGGTCAGTTCTAGGTTGAGGAACCAGCAATACAATAGATGCAAAAAGTCATGATCACTCCTGTGATCACTCTCATGATCACTGTTTCTAAGGGCTCATCAGGATGACAAAAATATCTGAGCCTACTTCCCTGTCCTAGCTCACAGTCATATTCATGGCTAAGGTCTACTTTTTTGTTCTAGCCTAAAATTAGATTCCTGCCTGAACTTACTTCCCTGTCATAACCCAATGTCAGATTCCTGCCAAGCAGCCCCAAAAGCTCTCCACAGTCAACAGAGTTCTGTCTCTGCCTTTCTGATAGGTCCCAAAGCCCAGGACATAGTAAGTTCTAAACAAATACTGCTGAGTAAACATGCACACTGTGCTCCTTTCTGGCATAGTCACAAATCCAGGAAGTGTCTGAAACTGATGTAATACCAGCTGCCACATTTGTTGGGCACACAGAATTTGTTTGCATTTGCTGTTCACTCCCAACATGTGTGCACACAGACACACAGACACAGACACACACATACACACACACACTACACACTACACACTTCCTACTCTCTTTTCTTAGGAAGCTCTGGTCTTGCTCTAAAGAAGGCTACTCCACATGTGTATGTATGGAAGGAGGGGCTGAATAGAGTCTGCAGTTATTCTCTGGTGTAGTATTAATAAAGAAATGGAAGGGGACAGGTCAGCTGTGACTAGGGCTTAGTTTTCTCAGCAGTTGGGATGGGCATTGTCTTTTTACTAGGTTGAGTGGATCTTGTGAATGATGTGAAATATGGACATCATTATGGGTTGCTTCTAGGCCAGTGGAAGTCAGAAAGACCACCCTGGCCTGGCAGTCAGAAGAGCACTCTGGTCTGGAAGTCATTCCTTGTGTGTTTCATACTTCTCTACATGGGCACCACAGGATTGGGGTGAATGAAATATGGCTTCTAGTGCTGTCATTTTCCTTCTTTTGATTTGGCATCTTGGCCTTTGAGCTTCTATATTGCCTGTTCTCTTTCTGTCATTCTGTGAATTAACCAGTAGGTGGCACCTGTTTTCACTGATGAAGCTTCTGTTGAAAGTAATTTAAGAAATAAAGACTGGTGTGGTGGTTCACGTGATCCCAGCAGTCAAGAATTTGGGACTGAAGGATTTTAAGCTCAAGGCCAGTATGGCTCATAGCAAGGGAAAAAATATGTATATTTTACACATACACACATTCAGACATGGAGAAGAGAGCTAGCTTGTCAAGACACTTACGTCATTAAAAATGTCCTTGTCTTCTCTCCTCCCTGATTGGACTCACAAGGTTATGGTCAGTGAAGTATGAAATTTATGTATGGGAAAAAAATTACCCTGAAGTACTGGTTTGTTCTAGATATTATTCACTGTTAGTATGGCAGATGTCTGCTCATTCTCTTCATTCATTCTCAGATTTTGTCTATTAGACAGTGAAATGTGCCGTTATACATTCAAATGACTTCTTGTAGCTTCCTTGCTGCCAGCATGTAAGCAGATAGGTGATCCTTAAGTGACCCAGGGGAAACATAGCTTGGTTCTGGTTTTGGCTCTTGAAAAACCTGGTTCAGTAGTATTGCTTATAGCATAGGATGGGCACATGCTGTAGCTTTTTCTTTGACTTGAGGCTATTTGCTGTAAGGGACTTGAACCTCTTTTAAGGTTCATTAACAGTGTTCCATCTGACAATGGAACACTTAGGAGTGCACAATGACTCCTAAGTTTTTTTGTTCCCCCCCACACACACAGGGTTTCACTGTGTAGCGCTGGCTGTCCTGGAACTCACTCGGTAGACCAGGCTGGCCTCGAACTCAGAAATCCGCCTGCCTCTGCCTCCCAAGTGCTGGGATCAAAGGCGTGTGCCACCACCGCCCAGCGACTCCTAAGTTTCAATAGTGAGATACAGTGGGCTTCCTTTCAGCACCAGGGCCCACAAGTGCCTGGAAGTTAACATGCCACTGGAGGGAAGACCCATTGCTAATTGTGGCTGCTCTCCTTTCCTGAGTCTTTCTGTTAAAACCTGGGAAAACATGGAGTCAGGGGATTGGTTTGATTAGCATTAATAAAAAAACAAACAGACAAACTTGATGTAACTTCTGCACCTAAGATTACCATTTCAAAAGAGGAGGTAGAAAGATTTAATCTCTCTCCTCTTCTAAAGATTAACAACGATCAATGGAAAAAAACAGATCATGAATTTGAAAGAGTAAAGAGGGTCTGGAGAGAGAAAAGGGATGGGGGAAAATGATGTAATTATAATCTCAAAAAATAAATAATAAAAACTTACAGCCAGGTGTGGCTTTAATCCCATCATTCAGGAGGCAGAAGCAGTTGGATATTTGTGAGTTCAAGACCAGCACAGTCTACATAGCAAGTTGCAGGCCAGTTCCAATGACGCTGTCAACAAAACAGAGCAAAACAAACAACAAAAACAAAACTTAAAATGCATAATCTCTTAACGAATATTAAGTTAGATCAGATTCCAAATTAACTTTCCCCTCATTTGAGATAGCAGCTCCCTCTCTCTCATCTCAGCCCTGTTCATTGCTCTCAGTGGAGAACTGGGAAGAGGGCACCTCCTTCTCCCTCAGAAGAGGATCTGTGGTCCAGGTTTTTTACAGGAGACAGTATGTTTTTTCTGCCCTGATCCATTTATTCACAATGGAGACAGTGCTAAGCAGTTCAGAGGATATGAACAGTTCAGATGAAGGGAAGTGCAGGGGGCCAGGCATCAATTCCAAAGCCTCATAGAGCTCAAACGTGTACTCTACCACTTGGCTACACCTCAGCCCCAAGGGCTTTTTATTTCCCATCATAAATTTGCTGAAAACTGGTTTTTTTGTTTTTGTTTTGTTTTGTTTTGTTTTTCGAGACAGAGTTTCTCTGTGTAGTCCTGGCTGTCTTGGAACTCACTCTATAGACCAGGCTGGCCTCGAACTCAGAAAACCTCCTGCCTCTGCCTCCCAAGTGCTGGGATTAAAGGCGTGCACCACCACCGCCCAGTGAAAACTGGTTTTGTTATTGTTCCATTATGTTACTTGGAATATTGACAGTGGTCTTGTAGGGGCCTTTCTTTGTGTCATCCTTTTGTTCTGTCACTTCTGTCTACTAAGCACCTGCCATATGGTAAGTATTATTCTGGGTTCAGGGATGCTACGATGAACAGCAGTCTTGGGCCTTCCCTTGCAGAGCTTGCCTTTCTGTGGGAGATGGAACCACGTGTGTGACAGGTCTGAGAAGCATTCCATGTATTGTCCCTATTGCTTTTGTATTGTCAAGTGGGGGGTTCTAGTATACCTATTGGGTTTTTGTTTTTTGTATTGGGTACTTTACCTTTAATTGTAGCTCACATGTTTAACATGAAAGTTGTTTGTATTTTTCCTATTATAATACTGAGGAAATCTGTTTGGGGAGCATATTAGGTAGGTGAGATATGTGGCTAAAATACACGCTAGATGTATCTTATTGAAGAATTGTTCAAGGTCTGTGTTCTTGGGAAGCTCTACAATCCAGAGAGTTCAGTAGTGTTGTCTCTGGCAGCTGTAATCACTACTTTACAAATGGGCAGAGGCCACGGGCCTTATGTCTGTGCCTCGAACTTTTAGTCCCATTTTCATGTGCCACCGGTTGTGTATTTGGAGCTCATTGGGAAAGCTTTGTAAAAAGATGGCAAAGGACTGCAAACCTGCTGCTTGCTTCTCTATGTCTGGAAGCCAACAATGGTGTTTCATTCTATACTCATGAGAAGAAGCAAAAGCATTGTGACACATATAGAACATGAAATTGGGCCAGTGAAATAGCTCAAGGGGGTAAAACTCTTGCTATGCAGCCTGATAAACTAGTCCAGTCCCCAGAACCCAGACAAAGTGGAAAGAGAAAACCAGCTCCACAAAGTCTCCCTGGCTTCCACGTGCTTCTAACCATCCCTCCTAAAATTAACATCTAAAAATGTTTAGATCATACCAAACTGAAGTTTATTGTGAATCTCTATGATACAGTATTTATTCCTGTGTTGTTACAGGATCAGTGAGTACCGGCCACCAGAGCTCAATCAGCTCCTAGACCCCAAAGGATGATTTGAGCCATTGCAGAAAATGCTTATCTGATCCCTGCTTGAAAGCCTCCTGTAGACTTACCTGTTGCCATTTGGGCTGAAGAGGCCATTGGTTTTTCAGGCCCTTAACTAGTTTTCATCAGGCTTGCTAAAGCAGTATATGTCATCTTGTTCTTTGAGCTGCTTTGCATTGTTTGGGCCTCTGATAGAATGTGTTTTGCCTTCTGAAGTTTCCTGTGGTCTGATTTCATAAAAACTATCACAGCCTGATGTGAGCTGCTAGCTTTCTGCTCTCTCCACTTCACTATTGTTAGGGTATCGCAAACTTTAAGGAGCACCTTTGCTTAGGTGACACTTGTGGTAGTAAGAACAGTCAGAGCTACTGCTGTACGTTGTAGAGCATACCAGCTTCACAGTGCTCTAAGCAAACACTCACTTAGCTTAGAGTACATTTGGTCCTGGTGGGAATGCTGGGATGATGAGTTGATTAGGAAGCAGGCTGACAGAATTCTGCCATCTTCAGTCTGCAGCTTCAGTCTACCACACTTGGCCATGTCTTTTATCTTTTGGAAAGTAAAAAAGATCAAGGGAAGAGTGCAGAATAAGATGGTCGGCTATTCATCTTTCATCGGAGAACTAGTCGTGGCCACCCTGGCTGCAGTGGAAGCTGTTTGCTGTAAGTGAGGGAAACTGTTGGTTACTTCTCTGTTGCTTTTAATAAAACAGCAATACCAAAAGCAATTTATGGAACAAAGAACGTATTTTGAGTTCTACGGGATAGAGTTCATTGTGACAGTAAGACATGACAGCAAATGACAGGCATTATGGCAGAAGCAGGAAACCAAGAAGATGCAGTAGCACCTTCAACCTCAGAGGAAAGAAGGAAGTAAAAACGGGGTGATACTATAAACTCTCAAAGATAACGCTCAGTGATATACTTTGTCCAGCAAGCCTGTAGGTACCCATAATGTTGCCATACAGCACTACCAACTGGGACCAGGTTGTCAGATATGTGACCTTTAGAGGGACATTTTTCATTCAAGCCACCACAGATAGAGAGTCTGATGATTATAAGCATTCTGTCTCCAGGAGGCTTTAGGGCTACATGCTTTACTCTGTTGGCTGAGAAGGACAAGTTATAAAAGATTTGTCACTTAATAAGTTTAACTATCAGAAAAAATATCTGTGTAGATGTAATTTTAAATTTTTTATTACATCATTTCATTTATTTTGTGATTACAAATGTTTTCCACAACACGCTTGTGGAGGTCAGGGGACATCTTACATAAATCCCTTCTCTCCTTCCACTATGAGAGTCCCAGGAATTAATCTCAGATTGTCTGGCTTGCTAGCAAATGCCTTTACCTACTGAGCTATCCTACCAGCCCTGACATGTAGTTTTTAATGCAAATCTTTGAATTGTTTGTAAGTTAACTCTGTGTACTTTCAGGCTATTGCACATTATGAACAATCTGCTGATTATTACAAAGGAGAAGAATCTAACAGGCAAGTGCTTCTCTTCACATCAGTAACAGGCTATTCATATGTGATAAAAGACATGATATCTTTGTCATCTAAAGCAAGTGTCCTTAGGCCGGGTCTCCTCAGTATGTCACTTATTCTGCACTATCCTACTTTCAGCTCTGCTAACAAGTGTCTGCTGAAGGTGGCAGCCTATGCCGCACAGCTGGAGCAGTATCAGAAAGCCATCGAGATCTACGAGCAGGTGAGGACACTGGTGTCACCTTGATAAGTTTGTAACCATCACTACTACCTACGGCTAGAGCCTTCCCATCCCTTCCAAAAGAAGCTAGGAAAACAGCCTGCTTTCTGTTTCCCTGATTTGCCATTCGTGATCCTTCTATGTGTATGGAACACTGCACCATCTCTTTTCTGTGCCTGATCTCATCTTTAAGACTCTTCATATTGAAACGTGCGTCAGTGTTTCCTTCCTCTCCATGGCTGAGTAATACTCCGGTTTTTATGTTCATTTGTTAATAGGCATTTAGGAAGCTTCCACTTGGGGTCTGTTAAGGATATTCTGCTGTGAACATCTGCACTTAACTTGTGTGGGAGCATGTTCTCACTTGTCTTGACTCCATACTTGGGGATGGAGTCAGGCTTGTTGGGCTTCGTGGTACATCAGTACCTACCTTGCTAAGGAGCTACCAAACCCTCACAGAGTGCTGGATCAGTGAGCACTTCCAGCCCAGTGTCCAGGGCTCAGCTTCTCTGGTCCTTACCAGCATCTCCGTGATCCCTAATAAATGTGAAGGGTCATCTGTTCTTTCTCTCCTGATGAGTGATATTAATATTCATGTGCTCACTGGCCATTTTTCATCTTTGGTGAGAGATTTAGGAGTAATTTAATCCTAGATATTAGGATACAGGTCCTTTATGGTTGGGAATAAACTTACTTACAAGCATTTTTTTCCCACTCTATGGATTTCATTTTTGTTCTGTTGCATGTGTCTCTTGGTCTAATTTTTTAGTCTTTAAAATAAGCTTGTAGGGGCTGGAGAGATGGCACAGCAGTTAAGAGTACTGGCTGCTCTTCCAGAAGTTCTGAGTTCAGTTTCCAGCAACCATATTGTAGGTCATAGCCATCTGTAATGGGATCTGATGCCGTCTTCTGCCATGCAAGTGTATATTCAGATAAAGCAGTCATATACGTAAAATAAATAAATTTAAACATAAATAAATACAATATTTCATTTATTTATTTTGTATGTGGAGAGTATAAGTGCCACCTGTGGCAAAGAGAGGACAACTTTCAGGAATTGAATCTGTCCTTCTTTTATGGTAAATGGCAGCAATGTTAGTGGGTTTGAGACCAGCAGACAGTATCAGATCAGATTAGAAGGGGTTGCTAGAGTTACCATGGTTATGAGCCACCTGATGCAAGTGCTCATAACCATGCTCATGGAGAACAGCAAATGCTCTTAACTAATGAGTCTTCTCTCTAACTCCAAGTCTTTCTTTATTGATGTTTTGGGGGTTTTTTGTTTTTGGTGTGGTGTGGTTTGGTGTGGTTTGGTGTGGTTTGGTGTGGTTTGGTGTGGTTTGGTGTGGTTTG